TGATTTTTTTTTTTCCCTTTAATTGTTTTTGAGCTTGACTGACTGATGTTAGATGATATAAATAAAGGTTGTTTATTGGCATCCATGGTTCCACGAAGAATCTTTTAACATCCATGGAGCCTTTACATTCCACAAAAAGTTCTTTATAGTGGAAAAAGATTCTTTAGATTTGAAAATGTTCTTCACTCTAAGAAAAAAAAGTTATTTTAAGAGCTATTCACTGAAGGGTTCATTGGGGAACCAAAAATTGGTCTTTTATGGCATTGCTGACAATTTTTTTTTAGGAGTGTATATGCTTATTTTTTCTTATTTTCTTTTCTTTTATATATATATATTTCATTTTATTTATTATATTTGAGGGTATATGCTAATAATAAAATATAAATATAACAAATGTAAATGAATATGATTTTTTTTAAAAGAAATTAATACTTATATTCAGATAGGACACATTAAATTAATCAAAGTAAAGGCATTTATAATGCCATAAGTTTTCTGTTTTAAATAAATGCTCTATTGCATTCATTCATTTAGAGTCCTGAAAAAAATTTGTAATGGTTTCCGCAAAAAATATTAAGCAGCACAACTTTTTTCAACATTGACACTCATAAGAAATGCTTTTTGAGCAGCAAATCAGCATGTATTTGACTGTATTTTAGATCAAATAAAGACTAGTGATGTTCGGTTCTTGAACGAATCGTTCTTTTGAGCCGGATCTCAGGAAGTAACCGGTCGAGCTAGCTCACAAATCAAACCGAATCGAACTTTAGTTCCGGGTTGATGACACAGGACGCACAGCCGAAGTAGCACGTTCGACTCAAAAAGAACCGATTGAGCTGGTTCAACCAAATGTCGAAGTTTGCCGAGAGTTACCGAGGACTCAACAAGAACCGAATGAGCCGTGGCGAAGTTTGCCGGGGAGTACCGAAGATTCTGATGAGTGAGTTGACGATACTGTGCAAGCCTGAGGAACGTACTGGAAATATGCTTATTATGACAGATATTAAAAAAATCTCTACAATAGTTTATTGTGCATGCATGGCGTCCCAGTTTTCCAAAAAGAACTTCAAATTTTGATTCGTGTCGACCCCGAATGACTTTTTCATGAAATGTCTGTTGAACAGAAAACGTCCCTGAAAAGTACAGGGCATACATTTGTCACACTCTGTCTCAAAACAATGTCTTTTATGGCCCAGGAGTGCAACACAACAGGATGCTTTTCTAACAGAGGCTGAGACCCATTGTGTCTTAACCTCTTTTTTTCTGTTTGCATCAGCAGATAAATAGTTTACTTGTTGTTTTGCTCCCCTGTTCGTCCTCATCGCATCCTTGTCCTTGAGAAGAACAGTACAGATCAACAAATACAACATGAATCCTTTCACTGGTTGCTGTGAATGCTGAGTGTACAAACACACTGAGTTTAAGAAGATACCTGCTTCCTAGAGGACTGGAGTGACCAGTCGTCACATTTCAAACATCATCCATCATTCTGAGCATTTATTGTGTGGATGTTTTGCAGCTGGCAGCCTGCTTGCATTTATATATTTCTGAAGGCAAAGCAGGTACATGTGAAGGACAGTAAAGCGTATATGAGCTTAATATCATTTTCTTTTTGTCCTTGTCACTCTTTCTCCTCCATAATGAAAGAGAGCTTTTTACAGGAGCTATAAAGCAAATTCAATTCAACTCTCGGCCAGCTAATTCCACTTGGGGCAATGTTACATAGACCAAAAAGAAAGAAAAAAAACTCTACATATTTCATCTTAAATACAATTGCCTTAGAGAAAAGCAAATTGGTTTCTATCTAAATGTAAATTTGTACTTCTGTGGTGCTGTTGGGTGAAGTGAGTTCATGCATGTGGGTTTTGGACCCTTCTGAGACACACGTAAGTCCTCAATCATGTATAACATTTCACTATTTAATCTTCAATGATTGACGGGTCTGTTCTTAAAAAGTTTGACACGGTAGAGATTTTAAATGATTTACGCTGAAATATTTGCTGCATGCAGTACTTTGAATGCCACTGTTTTTTAAAGGCTTTTTAAATGTTAGCATGGAGTTGATTTTTCTGGAGTTTATTACCTTTGCATCAATTTACTATCAACACACTTATCAGTTCTTGGCTAGTTGCGAGCTGATCGTTGCTGTCATTTTTGAATGCTATTACACTCTTAAAAATAAAGGTGCTTACTGATATACATCTACTGACAAACAGATGCTATTATAATTTGTTTATTTATTTGAAAAATGATCACTGGAGCAAGATTTGACCCCTCGCACTTAAAGCACAATATTCCTTTGAGGCACATCAGCTCATGCTCAGATTAAAGGCTGAGCCTCCCTAAATCTGAAATCCTAGAGTCGCCTGTGGTAATAAATGTTCTTGGTTTAACCTCAAGTATTTGACACGTTTCTTTCAGTGTCTGTTGAATGTGAGAATTTCACCTTATCATAGTTCTTGTCTTGGTGTGATTATCCGGCTTCAGTTGAATAATTCTGTAATATTTCTCTGTTGTTAAAAAGAGTTTATGTTTTTGTCCATTACAAACATTTCTGATTTCTTGTAATTATAGCAACTTTTATTTTTAGGTAGCCTCTAATCCACTTTTCAATTAGCGTAACATTCATTTTATTATCTCTGTTGTACTAGACTAAGAGGATTTTTATGAAAGGTAGGAAAAACACATCACGTTTTTTTGGTTGCCCTATTTTCTTTTCCACCTTTTCTTTGACTGTGTACCAATGCAGCACATGTTTTTTGATAATGCGGCTCCTCTAATACCTCTCTGGAACTAACCTGTACGCGTGTTTCATTCGTTACCCATGTGGGTGCAGCGAGCACTGGTTGTTTTTGGTATGCGCTGTGTTCACTGGGGAGCTGGATGGGGGTTTTGAAGAGAGGGCAAGTCCCCTACATTTAAGCCCAGTTGATTGACAGTTCATTCCCTCACCCGGTTCCACACGCCTGCATTTCCTACCTTCTCTTCAGAGCTCTGATCCCACCAATTGGACTGTCACACACTCAGACACACACACACACACACACACACACACACACACACATACTGCACTTACAATTAAACATGCCCTATCACACTGGCGGAGGTGTATTCCACTGGTCAGTTCCCACTAACCATCACCTGTAACTAACCATCTGACACCACCCAGAAAATGGCAAATCTGACAAACTGTGTTGATGAATTACAGGAAGCTGGCTTGTTTATCACCATGACAGATGGTGTGATTTTATCACCACGTAAATCCGACGGGAAGGATGTGGCAAACAGCTCTTGAAAGGCTTGCTTGATGGGAGGTCGCCAGTGTTGGAAAGTTACTTGCAAAGCTAATCTACTAATTATTTAAAGTACAGCCAATCTTAAAATACAGTCAGTCCTTTTGGGAAAAAATTAGATACACTTCAAGCTATTAAAAAAGTAGTTATTAAAAATTAGCATTATTTAACAATCATTTTGAACATCAGAAGCTAAATATTTTGCATTTTCAAAATAAAATGTATTTATTAAGAATAAGGTGATGTTTATTTAACATTAATTTTAACAATATATTATTGTAAAACTGCATATATTTTTTGTTTAATATAGATTTTTAACATAAAATATATGGTATTCAGACAATTCCAAAAACCATACATTTGACAGCATTTTACTGTATGTAACGGTCTTTTATTTTTTTTTTTAGAAAAGTTATTTTAAATTGTT